CCATAGAGAGAGATGCTTCTTCTTTCTCTTTCTCATTCTCTTCGTTCTCATTCTCTACGTGTTCACCTTCTTCTTCATCCTCCTTCTGTTCCATATTGGCATGTTCTTCTTCATCCTCCTTACCATCTTCTTCTTCATCCTCCTTACCATCTTCTTCTTCATCCTCCTTTTCTTCCATATACGCATCATCTTCCACATCGTTCTCTACATGAGTTACATCTTCAACCTCATTATAATCCGGAGTTACATCTTCTACCTCATCATCATGCAGAGTTACAGTCTGTTTCTTCTTTCTACCCCTTTTTCTCTTAGTTGCAGCCACAGTTTTTTTTTGGGGGAGCCACTTTCTTTGCTATTGTCTTCTTATTCACAGACACTGTCTTCTTTGGGGAAGCCACTCTCTTCTTCGGGGAAGCCACTGTCTTCTTAGGGGAAGCCAATGTCTTTTCAACCTCCAAGCCTTGATTACGTTTACTACGATGAGAACCCACTTGTCCTCCTCCTCTTGTCTTCGGCGGCATTTCTGAGAAGTTCCAAACAAAATACATTAGATCGAAACACAAAAGAGTGTAAATCGAAACACAAAAGCACAAACTTCCCAGAATAGTCTTAATCGAAACCCAAAATCACAAAATTGCACATGAATGTTCACGAAAACTAAGAATCGAAACCCAAAATAGACTAAATCCAAACCCAAAATCACAATCTAGCACATGCATTTTCACACAAACCAAGAATCAAAACCCCAAATCAAAAACTTTTTCGACTCCAATGATGGTATTGAAGAACCGATATAGATGAGAAAAGAACAAAGAAGCTAAGATTGAAGGAGAACATACCTTTTCAAGCTTCGATTACTCAGAGAAACAGTGGAGAAGGGTTTCTTTAGCTAAGAATTTGTTTTTAGAGAAGTGAAGAAAGAGATGAATTTCTATCGACTATTGGACTTATATATTATAATCTTAGATATATACATTTAAAATAGTGTTTATATGTACTTTTGAAATGGTAAGCCGCCTACACTAAGAAATTTAATGCGGCTAAACATTTTTATTTTCCCGCGATAACGAAAATAGCGTTTCAGAAAGACAAACGCTATACAAAAGGCAAGTCTTGATATACAATAGCATGACTGAAAAAACCGCTATCATACGATGCTATTAAAACCCACATTTCTTGTAGAGGAATTGGTTTCACGATGATCCATGAGTTTAACCTAGCGTTGTTAGTTAAGCAGTTGTGGAGATTGGCTCAATATCCAGATTCCATGGTAGCTCAATTTATGAGAGGTCGGTATTATCGTTTGAGTTTGACTTTGCGTCAGCTCACTATCAGTAGCCCATCATATGTGTGGACAAGCATATCGGCTGCACGAGAATTAGTATTGTTGGGAATTCGACAGAAGATACATTCAGGATATGATGTGAAAGTATGGGAGGACCCTTGGATTCCCACAATCCCAGCGAGGCCAGCGTCTTCATCTGCTCTGGTTTTGCATCCGAACATGAGAGTGAGTGATCTTATTAATCAAGAAACAAAGTCATGGGATTTGGATCGGTTGGCGAATTATGTTGATGCTGCTGACATACCTCTCATAAGGAGTATGACTATTAGCTCAACAAATCGTAGAGACACGCATTGCTGGAGCTACACAAGGAGTGGACAATCACAGTCAAGTCTGGCTATTGGGTTGCTCGAAATATATTAATGAAGGAGGATGATAATATAGTGGGCGAACCTAGTATTACAAAACTCCAAACACATACCTGGAAGGTTAAAGCACCCCAAAAGATGTGTAATCTTATGTGGCAGATTATAACAGGTCATGTGGCTGTTCCGAGTGCTTTGAACCATAGACACATGAGATGTGACAACGTTTGTCCACGATGCGGAGAACCGAAAGAAACAGTTGCACATGCAATCTTTCAATGTTCACCTTCATTGCAGGTTTGGGCATTATCATCTATACCTACCAGCTCAACTTTATTCCCACTGCAGAGCACATATGCGAATATAGATTATCTATTTTGGAGGAAGAAGGCAATTATGGAACCATAATTAGACAAGGACCTTTATCCTTGGCTAATATGGTACATTTGGAAGGCTCGGAGCGATAACCTGTTCCGAGGAATTAATAGAGATCCTCTGGAACTAGCCCGGTATGCGGAGAGTGAGTGTCTTGCCTAGTTCTAAGCCAATGAGCAGGACATCGTGTCATTGCAGGGAAACATAGTAGCTGAAAGTCAGGTCATAAGCCTGAGAGATATCTGTCTGGTAGACGGTTCTTGGACCTCTACAGATCAATTCACTGGTTGTGGTTGGGTTTGGATGGATAGCATGGGTAATAATCAGTTGATGGGTATGCGTAATGTTAGTAGGGTGGAGTCGGCTTTGCATTCTGAGCTGGAAGCACTGCGATGGGCAATGGAGAATATGCTTTAACATTCGCCATGTCAGAGCTTAAGGCGGATTGCAAGGAATTGATAGCGATGCTCAGAAACCACCATGATTGGCCAAGTTTCTCGACGGAATTGGAGAGACTCTTGACGCTGCAGATTTGCTTCTCAAATTTAAAGATAGTCTACGTTCCTAGGTCTCAAAATGCTGTGTCCGATTCTTTAGCTAAGACTGCTCGATCCTTCATCGAGATCTAATGTATGTTGGTTGTTCTATTCCGGTCTGGATTTTCAGATCACCTCAAGTTTAAGTAATAGATCAGTTTTTCGTTGTAAAAAAAAAAAAAAATTATCTAGTGTTAAAAAATAAAAAAACCGGGGCATTAAACGGCCCATTAAGAAACGTCCAAGGTTTATTAACTATGATATCCACAGCAGAGGCACTTTTTTTCATCTTCACCAGTCGCTTCTACTTTTTGGGAGCAGAGAAAAACGATGGCAGATGGATATGGCTACGGCGGTTTTTCTGGAGTACCGTACCCGATCTTTCTTTCTTCTCCGTCTTCTCATCCTCCATCTTCTGCGCCGCCGATCCAACCTTTTGAATCGTATGATCCAACCCAGGGAGGGTATGATCCGCTGATTTCTCAGGGCTCTTATCACCAATCGCCGAATTATTGGTTAAATCAGCTACCAATTGGTGATAATTCTCGCTCTCAGACGCCTTCTTCATCGTTTGGTATATATCTTAATCCTCTATTGAAAGCATATTTGAGGTTTAACTGTTTAATTGTACTGTGATCGGCTTAGAACATATTAGCTTAGGTTATGTCCTGAGATCTATGAGGTTTGAAACAATTACGGATTAAGGGTTAAATGATCAATAGATCTATTTTATTAATCACTTGAATTGTTGGGCTGAGAATAATGTTTCGTGGTTAGTTATGATTTGATAATAATCTTTGTATTACATAAAGATTAAAGAGCACGAGTTTACTGTGTACTGAAACACTGCTTCGTGAAAATATTTTTTGTTCAAAGATTGAACGCAGGACGGATTTTTGTTCGTGCAGGAAATTTTGGTCCCAGGGCTGAAGATTTTCATAGAGGCTTGTTCTCACCGAGTGAATTTAACCCTTCAAGGGAATCATCATCTGATGTTGTTGTGCCACTCCCCACTGAGAATTTCTTAGAGAGGCAACGCTATGAGTGGGTTCCTTATACCTCAGCTACCGTGTCTTCTTCAGCAGATATGCTGAGTAGAAATTCTCAGGAACCATTCTATAAGCCTATCCCGTCTTTTGGTGCTTATCCTTCTAGCAATGCTTTTGATGATAAACCTTCCGGACATTACCATCATGGCTATGATAAACCTAAGAGTACGAACGTTGTCCCTGGTCTTTCTGTGGAGCCTTGCTTAGGTGTTCCGTCTTTACCAATGTCAAGCTTGAAAACAGAAGCTCTCTTTGGTGGAAGTCAAACTGGGATTCGTTTAGGAGACGGGAAATCATTCCGTGGTGACGAGCCTGAGAATATTCAATCGAGTTCTTCTGTTGAACCGGTGAATTTCGACGCGTTGCTTGGATATGGTGAAGCCACTGGTCACGTCAAGCCTTTTTCTGAAAAGACAGTTTGCTCGCCAGGATCACGGAGTCTCCGTTCTTCACACCCGATACATTTTAATGTCAATTCCTCCGATTCACTGTTCAAGGAAAAAGGAGAAGGTTGTGATGTCTCCTCCCTTTATCAGAAGCCAAATACGTTGGTTGCTGACATTGAGACTGGTATTTCTGAGACCTTCTTGAAGAATGCGATTGAAGATTTGAATTGCAATGAGCATAGATCCTGGAACCACTTCATGGTATCTTCTGAGGGACCTTCAGCTCCTACTGTGTTCTCTATGGGGAATGAGCCATGTGGTGCAATAAAAGCGGATAATGATAATGCTGCTCATTCGGCTGTCAACTATAAAACCCTTTCCGAAGGTAGTGCTAATCAACCTAGTGAAGATGTTCAAGCCAGTGAAAAGACATGTAAGCTCCAGGAACAACTGTTTGATACGATGAATAGAGCTAAGAAGAAGACCACTTTGTTGACAGATGTTTGTATCAAAGGGAGGAGTACATCCAATGCAGATGATGTATCAACTGGCCGATCACCTGAAAAGCATTTATGTGATCAAGGAGATTTCCCATCCCCGCCTTCTTCTGCAAGAGTTTCTTCCGTGATTAATGCCATGCATAATCTGTCAGAAGTGCTTGTTTACGAATGCTTCAACAATGGGAGCTGCCTTATGCCGGAACATCTTGAGAACATTGATAGAGTAGTAGAGAATCTCACCAAGTGCTTAAAGAAAATCACCAGTAACAAGAGAGTAGCAGGGGAAGCATCAGTTCCAACTCAAGCTATGAATGTTTCCTGTCCAAACGTGGTTGATCTTAATGAGGTATATGATGCAGCTCGACCCTGATTATTTCGTAGGTAGAAGTTAAAAATACATGGAGCTGATGATTTATTTCTTATGAGCATCAGTTGTGAATAAAATAGTTTTACATTAGTATAGGCGATTTCTTGATCTGTGCTATGTTGCGGACCTATTTGCTTTTTCTTTAAATAGAATGAAAGACATTGCTCGTTCTGGTTTGCTGTTAGTTGCTTAACGATACCCTTTTTCAGGCCCCAAATGTAGTCGCTAAAGACTGTCAAGGATTTAATGTCAAGCAGCTAGACAGCTTTGGTTTCAAAGAACCGGTGGATACGGATAAGACTACTGAGATGACCCAGGTATCTCTACTTATATAATACTTTTTGCCATATTCATATTTGTAATGTCTTATGTACGGAATCTTAACTTTGCAGAGTATTAAGAACGTACTTGCTTCCAACTTTCCTGATGGTGAAGAAAACCACCCACAAACTCTCTTGTACAAGAATCTCTGGCTCGAAACTGAAGCAGCCTTATGTTCCTCAACTTGCATGGCTCGCTATCATCGTATCAAGAACGAGATTGATAATCTCAAAATTCAGAACAATGGTTATAACTTGATTAACTCACTCTGCACATTATCTTGCGAATACCCTTCAGAAGTATTTGTTTTAACAGTTTATCTTTTGCTTTCTCAGAGGTCTCTCCAGATGCATCAACCTTTATGCAGGAACCTTTTCTTAACCCGCAGGAGACGACTGAATCACTCATCAAACACGGAAGCTATGGTGGGAACAATGAAGTAACAATGATGAGTCGTGACGCTCCACAAAGCTTTAAATTCAACTCTGATCCCGTGAATGCAGTACTTTCACTTATGTCTAGAAGCTTTACCGGTGGTTTAGAACAGGAAAATCATGGAAACGTCAAGCTTGATGCTCAGAAAGCCGACACTATACAGCAGGAATCCACAAGGGAGGGAAAATATGATGATGTTATAGACCGGTTTCAGATTCTGAAGTATCTGGAAACAAAGCGCAAACTCAAATCTCAGAACTGCCCGGATTCAGACATTGGTAGGCTTCAGATTCTGAAGCCGCAGGAGGAAACAAATTGCAAACTCAATTCTCAGAACTTCACAGAGACAAGAAATGATAACCAGGAGGAGAATCGAGATCAAGTCTTGGAGATGGCTAAAATTGGCAAAAGCAGCTATATGACCGATGTAATGGATAGATTCCAGATACTAAAACGCCGAGAAGCTGAGCAAGTTCAGAAGTCTCTCAACAGCTTGGACATAGATTCAGATTCAGAAGACGATCAGCCAAGAAACAAGACACATAACCTCTGGCCAGACTCGATTACCGTCGGTACTGAACCATCTGCATACTCGGACTGGGAACATGTCCCCAAGGATGATTGAGTACTGGAACTTCCTTGGGCAAGAAGTTTCGATCCTTTTTAATGGCTTTGTTTGTGTATAAATAAAATGGCATTGTGTGATTACACTTAAAATGAAATTGTGTGGAGTGGTATTTTGCTATTTTTCAAATTGTGGCGTGTAGTTTCAATGTTTTCTGACAACTTACATAATATGTGTTATCTGCATCCTCAGAATCTTAAACGCATACAAAAGTACCTACGGATGAACTTCAATGAGTTTCAAAAACAGTTCGTAATGATGATATAATGACACGTGAACTATGGCTTGAGCGTCATCGTCGTCTTCATCACCTTGGTCCGCTTTTACATCTTCTACAGTTACGGAACCTGCAAAAAAACATGGAAAAGAAAATACAAAACTGTTTCAGCTGTGGCAGCGACCGGTTGCTCAGGCTGTCCATCAGTGACTACTGCAAGAGCAGACATGGCTTCCAGTTCCAGAGAGAGATATTTTAGGATTCGTATAGGAAGGATATCGTCAGCCCAGTACCGGTCATGAATTTATTAAGCCCACAACGTGATTAATTACTTTTATTTTATTTTACTTTTCCTATTTGGTAATTAACTTTTCTGTAACACAATACCAACACTCTTTTGATACGATTAGACAGGCAAACAATCCCTATATTAAAGGAGAAGCATTACAATTAATACGTTTATATTATATTTACCACATTGCATGCTCACATTGATTTGAAACACGATCCTTTTTATATTAAAGGAGAAACCTTACAATTAATACGTTCAAACTATATTTGCCACGTGACATGTTTGCGTTGATTTGAAATGAGGGAAGCTGACGTATCAACTTAATAGAGATTTTCAAAAAAAAAAATCAGAATTTTGAAACCAAGATAGTTCACTTCCTACCTTAACTAAACATGAGAACATTTTCTATTTCTCTCATAAGCGATCAGTGGATTTTTTTTTTCTTTGCTTTGATGGATGTGATATGAATCTAGTTGTGTCTATTGAAGTAAAGTTTTGAACTGCATAAAGTGAAATAACATTTTGCTGAGTTGTGCATAATTTCGTAGATGCTCATATCAACCGAAGCCACATTTTGAGAAGCAAATCTTCTTTGCTCGATCTTTATTAAGCATTGGTCTTGGTTGTTCATAAGGGACCGTGTGTAGGGATGGAAATTTGCATAGTTTATGGAGAATCGGTTTTGTGTTGATCAGTGTTAATCATTGGTCTTGGTTTTTCACCACACACGATTGGTTGGTTAAATCCTCTTGAACCATTATTTAGCAACGTAGAGTATATTGAACCTAACTAAACGTGTTTTTCTTGTTCATTTCGATGGATATTCATATTGCTGGATGCCAAGGTTTGAAAAACATAGATGCAAGTTTTGACATACACATGATAGCGAGAGCTTAGGGATAAACATCTACGTTAGCGGATGCACATCCATCGGTACGGGGTCACGTGCCCCCAATAAATTCTTATTTTTCTTATATATGAAAGTGCCCCCAATTTGAAAAATAGATATAGTGTAAAATTGTTATGTTCCCCCAATTAAATATAAACCTAGATCCTTCCATGTACGTTGTATGGTTAAGACTTCTATACCATATAAGAAAAAGCTGAGATCTTAAGCAACAATTTGATGAGTAGGGAGGTTGATACCCGATATACGAAGAGCTAATGTTACCATAGGGTGTTAGCAATATATCCAGTAATTGTGTTACAGTCACATAAATTTGAAACGAGTGGTTTTGTTGATGTTATACATATTTGCAAGATTTACGAATAACATCAAGGCATACATGTTCATAACAGTTTGATGAGTAAGCAAGAAGTTCACAGATTCTCATATCGATGGATGCATAGATCGAAAGATTTGCTAATCTAACAATGTTATTCGAAGGCATAGAAGCATATTTCTGCATCAAAGTTTGATGTGTAGCGAAGTATAGAAGGCAATGTATAAGGGTCGTAGATGTTGTTCGAAGTATGTATGCACATTAGTTTTATATTAAAGAGAATGAGATTGTCGTAGACGAAATGTTTTAACCGAAACTAAATTCCAGTCGATTAAGAATATATAATTGATATCAATCAAGTGTACAAATAAAATTTAAATTGTCTTCGTTATGATGTAGTTAACGAAGAAAGTTTATAATTTTTTTTCTACAACAATTATTTAGATGGTTATATTTTTATCCATTTAGAACTTATAATATGAAATGCTTAGTTACCATCATTATTGTCTAAAAATGTCAACAGTTTAAACCGAACACATGAAACATCTATTATATTAAAAGAGAAGTCATGACTTTTTCATAGGTTATTTTTCTATTTGGACAATCCCTTAGAAAAATATTTAAATTAATTTTTGTGTACATTTTTGAAATAGTTTAGTTATTGCACTGTTCTAAAATGTGTTATGTGCTTGTTGTGCGGTGACCTAGCGCCTAAAATCCTTAAATATTTAAATGTCTAATATTAATAATAAAATTAAAAATTTAATTTTATAATAAAATATTATGTATTTAAACTATTTTAACGACTTAATATATTTAAAAGTAAACCATAATATTGTAACAGATAATTGATAACAAAAATAAACTAATGTCGAATCACTTCAACTAGTTTTGTTAACAGATTCATAAGCCACATGGTGATATGCTATTTATCTTTTTGGAAACTAAAAACCTAATTTATTAATTAGAATACAAAACTTATTCAAATAATGGAACTGAAACAATTCAATAAAATATATTAAAGGTTGCATATTGGTTCAACTAGTGGTTTAACCAGTAGTCGGATTTTGGGTTTTGACGATTTTTTACGGGTTTTACCAGGGTTTTAAATATTATTTTTTTTCTAAAGTTCTAACCGGATTACATGCTGGATCATTGCATTACATACCGGATCACGATAACATACTGGGTTACCGAATTTACCGATTCAATCGCGGATCCTGGTCGGAAATTAAAATACTGTTTCGGAGAGTATGGTATAGAGAAATAGGGTAGTAGCGTCTTAAATATTACCATATATATAGGATTGGGCTATATATTTGGGTGTAAGATGGGTCAGTTTTTTGGTCAAATTAAACCATCGGATCATTGTATAAATATATTGTGTGTCGGTCAAATTTATATTTGAATTTCTAGATTTAAGAGCTGATGATCCGAATGTGTTAAATCAATTCTACTTCAAATTCCTGAAGGTCAAATACTTATAATTCTTTCTTTTAGATGAAGCGTTTATGTTATGCATGTCTCTGAAATATCTTGATAAGACTAGATTTATATACCAACTCGTTTATTTGGAAATGTTTTGTAACATATTGGTTTTAGAAAATGCTTCAGAGTATAGAAAATTTAAACAGCATATATGTCTATTATTAAAAAATACACTTAATATTATTTGTGTGTTCACAATATATAGGTATATTTTTTTCAAATAACGACCATAATAGAATTATATATAGAGAACTGAAAATTAAGTTTCATTTGCAAGAATACATTCAAGAGACTCTTCTCGATAAATTTTTGTTATGTTTCCACGAGTGTATAATTTCACATGTACTCGCCAAACAATCTTGAAGAGTTTCACGTCCCTAAGAAGAGTAAAACTTCGATTGGTGGTCATTTTTTTCTTAGTGTAGTTCTAAATGTAAAGAAAGCATAAGAGAAATATGTATATATCACGACATGGCGATTTCATATTATTGAGATAATTCATCACGTTTTAGTTAGATTTTTTTTTACTAATTCTAGGGATTCTGTACCATGAATATTTTTTTTTAAAACTCAAAAATCGGAATTTTTTTTTTTTAAAGTTTATAAAGAAAGAAGGTTAGAAACAGAGTGAATCACGCAAAAGATATATGCTAGATTTTATATATCCATATGTAAATTAGTTGATATAGCTGAGAATATACATTTTTATCTGCTCATAATTGGTTTACTTTATTTAAAATAAATTAGAATAATTAAGGTAATTAGGAGTCAATAACATATAACAGTAAAAATACTTTTATTGTTAGTTACGAAACATTCAAGAACATGGACTGAATTTATCTAATATGGAAATGTAGTTCTTACAAGACCGAAATATATGTAGGTGATAGGTAACTGTTTTCTTTTAGTCGTTGATCTTTTTTTGTTCAGTTTAGACTTTCATAACAAATTTAGATAGATATCTGGTTTATTATTAATTACACAGTGTACAATTCAAAAACAATAGTATACTCCAATAATTCAAAAATTACTTTTACACATTAATAAACTGGGTTTTAAAATTGTCGCAACTCTGAAATATTTAATCATAGAAAGACACCAATTAATATTTATGCAACAAAATGTTTAACAAATCCTGCAATAATTATTTCATTCTTGGAAAAGAAAAGTAGCTATGAAACACAAATCTAAAATTATAGGCAGTAAAAGTTCAGTTTTTGAACTGAAGCAATTATACTGTCTAGAAACAGTATACAAAACTTCCTAATTTCTTTGTCAAAAAAGGCTTCCCGTCTGATATATAATATGAGCACAATCACTTCACTTGGGTTTTAACGATTTTTTACGTATTTTACAAGGGTTTTAAATAATAGTTTTTTCTAAAGTTCAAATCAGATTACATACTGGATCACCGCATTACATACCGGATCACGATAACATATTGGGTTACCGAGTTTACTGATTCAATCACGGATCCGGGTCGGATTTTAAAATACTGGTTCAGAGAGTAGGATATAGATCGAGAAATAGGATAGTAGCGTGTTATATATTAACTAGAATTTGACCCGTGTACCCGCACATGTGTTTATTTTACGATATATATAGGATTGTGCTATATTTTTGGGTGTAAGATGGGTCAGTTATGTGGGAAAAATAAACTATTGGATCATTGTATAAATATATTGTGTGTCGCCATATTTATATTTAGATTTCTAGATTTAAGAGCTGATGATCCGAATGTGTTAGGTCAATTCTACTTGGAGTTCCTGAAGGTCAAATACTTATACTCCCTCTGTTTCATTTTATTTGTCATTTTATGTTTTTACACATAGATTAAAGAAATATTTAATTTTACATATTTCCAAGATAAAAACACAATTACCTATACACATAACCACTTTTCAACCAATAGAAAATTAGAATATTATATAAAACTAATAAATTTTGCCTCGAAACTTTAAAACGACACTTAATTTGTG